AAACCATGAATCTCGTTTTTAGAATTCACCCTTTAATTTACAAATTAGTAAAACAAGGCCCAGAAGAAGTAACTTGCTCAAGATCTCATGGCCAAAGAGTGACCAAGCTGGGCCTTGAATCCACGTCCCCTGACTCTCAATCCAGTGCTATTCCAGTATTCCATGCTGCATCTTAGAGGCGTGTGAAATGGCACCATTATACAGAAATTCTTGAATGGCTCTGTGGTCCATGCTGGTGTCTACAATGCCAGTATCAGTTGCTTTGCTTTCTGCAGTTCAAAACTGTAATCATGTAGTCTTGACAATAATTTTAAGCATTATATCAAATTTAATTTTGATAAATATTCTTAGAATATTTAATATCTTTAGTATATCTGGTATGCAATAGGTTAATGCTATTGATTTGTACACTTTTGTTGCAGGGGAATGGGAGGAGGGTGGTCAGAACAGCATATTAGGGTCAGGACAAATATATGCATAAAAAAGGATATTTCCCTTGCAGTGTAGCAAAGCAGAACAGCCAGAAAAACAGGGCTGCATCTTGACTCTGGCTGTCTTCCCATCTGCCTCGGCATATGTTTTAAGGCTTTTGTGCTCTCTTACTTCAGCCATGAGCTATTTTTTTCCAAAGGAAGCTGAAATAAATTAGGGAAAAAATAGTCCAGCTTTCCAAAGTAGACTCATAGGTTTTCGGTGCACACGTGTAAATAAAAGATTAGCTTTACAGCTCTAGAGAAAAGTAAATAGGAACGAGCTGCTTCTCTCCAAGCGCAGAGGAACACCTGCTGCTGTTCCCATTGTTCCCAGTGCTGCTGTAGCCTCGTGGAGGTCTCAATAGTGGTGGCAATGTTTCCCAAACTTTGTTGCACATGGGAATCACCTCAGGATCACTAAAAAATACTGATGCTCAGTCCCTATGTCCAGATATTCTGATTTAATTGGTCTGAGGAGTGACCTGGGCATTGGGCTTTTTAAAATTTAGCTAAGTGATTTTAATGTGAAATGAAGGTTAACAAGCATTTGCCTTGTTTGCCAGTTTGATAACAACAGACACTAAGTTCCTCTAGTTTAAAAGGTGAATTTGACCCAGCTCCAGTTACTAGAGGCTCCAGATTCATTCTGGTTCAAAACCAGGCTCTCTGACCCTTACTTAGCTGTGTCTCCTTGAATGTGTCACTTAACCTCTCTGAGCCTCAGTTTCTTCATAAGTGAAATGGGAACAATGTTTACCTGCCACCAGGGATGTGGTTTAAAAAAAAAAAAAAGGAATATATAAAAAATAATAATAATAATAATAATAAAAAAATAAAAATAAAAAGAAAAGGAAAGAAAAGACAATGGGAACAATGATACTTATTTCATAGAATTCTGTGAAGAATAAATGACATGTGGCTATAGTATGTCTACCACATTTGTGCTTTAAATTGTTTTACATATTTGGAGTCAGTACCATTAAATTTCAAGTCTTTCTAATAAGCAATTCATTTCATTTAAAAAAGAGAGAAATCTATGCCATGTATGCTTTTTTGAAAAAATACTTTTCCATACTTTGGATTCCGTGCTCACTGAGCATATTTCTAATTACAATTTAACTTCTATATAGGAAGCCTTCATCCATTTACTTGTTCGATAAGTATTTATTGAGGTCTACTATGTGTCAGTTCTAGTTCTAGCATGAAGGTACATCAGCAAGCAAGATGTTTCTAAAGGAGGAAGACAATAAAACTTAATAAACAAATTATATAATATAGTAGAGTGATAAGTAAACACCTTCTTTTGGATAAAAATAAGAGGCAAGGAGGATGAGAGTGATGGGTGTTCCATTTAAAATCAGAGAGACTGTCCTTATCATATATGGTATGACCCATAAGACACTAGTCTCTTAATGGACTGTAGCCCAGTTTTCTGTAAGCTATAGTAAACTCATTCTTTGTTGTGGGTTGATAATGTCAATATAGTGAATACATTTGCTTTTCATACATTTCATATTTTTAAAATCCCACACCATTTTTATAGGTAATTCGTTCCTTTTTCTTTTTTTGAGATAGAGTCTCACTCTGTTGCCTGGGCTAGAGTGCTGTAGTGTCAGCCTACTCATAGCAACCTAAACTCCTGGGTTCAAGCAATCTTCTGCCTAGCCTCCCGAGTAGCTGGACTACAGGCATGCGCCACCATGCCCGGCTCATTTTTTCTATATATTTTTAGTTATCCAGCTAATTTCTTTCTATTTTTAGTAGAGATGGGGTCTTGCTCTTGCTCAGGCTGGTCTCGAACTCCTGAGCCCAAACGATCTACCCACCTCAGCCTCCCAGAGTGCTAGGGTAATTCTTTCCTTAGCAAAAAGCAACCTAACAAGGTAATGATGAGACCTCTATTTCCAACTGTCCTCTGTCAAGTTCCCTCCAAAGCAGACCCTAGGAGAGGAAGGATTTGAAGTAGTTTAATTGGGAGGTGACCCCAGGAAGCACCACTGCGGGGGCCAGGTACATGAGACAGGGAAAGGAAAGAAGCCAATGTCTGATGTGTTAATGAGCAGGCTTCAGCTGTGGGCATTTCAGCTCAATGCCACTGAAGACCCGGGGAACTGAGGCTAGAACATGCCTAAGGAACAAGGAAGCTGATGCACTGATCTACCCATTTTATCCATCATCCTTCAGCTCGTCCATCCTTAGCATACCTGGAGAGGGGGAGGCACGACAGTGGGGAATGTCTGCTACACTGTGATAAAAACCTCACAATTTTTTTTTTAGTCTCCATATTCAGAATTTTTAATGCAGTATTTAAACAGAGACTAAGCACACTGTATCTTTGCTTTTCTCAAGTAAGCTCATCACATCGTGATACAATACCATGGATAAGACAGTGGAAAATATGCTCAAAATGATTTCAACAAGACTATTTTAAGACATATTCAAAAGTTTCAGAAGCCCTAACTACCTAATGTGCTAATGACACATCATTATCTATTCATTAACGCAAACTCCATGAGGATCACTAATTGGCTTTAAACTCTTTAAAAACAATGCAGTTGCATTGTGTAGAAACAGTCTACACTAAGATTTCTTTCCTTGTTCAAAATGCTTTATCTTTTTTTTAAGGTTAATGCAATTTTATTTTATTTTGTTTTTTTATTTCAGAATATTACAGGGATACAAGTGCTATAGTCACATAAATTGCATTTGCACTGCTGAGTCAAAGCTACAAGTATGCCCACCCCCCAGTCAGTATGCACTGCGCCCATTAGGTGTTAATTTAGGCTTCCCCTCCTCTCTCTCCCTCCTCCCCCATCTGCAATGAATGTTAAAAATGCCTTATCTAAAAGAATTAATTTTAAATAGAAAACACTGTTTTTATGTCACCAAATCCGGTTAATCTTCTCAGCAACAGGCAATAGACAATGAAAATCTCTGTACTGATTGTGCGGTAATGTTATATCATAACATCAGCCAGGGGATATTGTTCTTCACATGCTCTGACATTCTTGAAAACAAGCCACTGAAATCAAGGCTGTTTCCACCCAGACTACTAGAGTGAAGCAGGGATAAAAATTGTCGATCTCTTCTATCGTCCATTTACACTTTTCTGCGTAGGAGAGAGTCTCTGTGCTTCTTTGGGGACCAGATAACATGGAACCCCTTGGTGGTGAGGCAAGAGTGGGCTTCAAGATTAAGGAAAAGATGCTCAGGAAGGTAAAGACAATGACGGAAATGGGAACGTCGACGGCTCCTAAAGCAGGGTTATTGTACATGGACAGCAGTCAGATGCAGCTGGGTTCAAGCCTGGCTCTACTATGTGATCTGCAGCATATTACTTTCTCTCTGTGTGCTTCAGTTTCTTGACCTGTAAAATGGGAATAACATTAGGACTGCCTCTAAAGGTTGTTGTGAAGAATAAAAGCGGTAACGCATTTTGGAGCACAAAGCGCAGTCCCTGGTGTGTAACAAGCACACAGTACAGGTAGCTCAACCAAGAGGCGTGCACAGTAGACTAGAGGTAACAGGGCCCAAGGGGGGCTCAGACTGGGTGGTCAGCACTCTGAGCTTCGCAGCTATTGCTTCTGCAGAGGCTCTGGCCTTTGCAAGCCTCTTTTTAAAAGCCATCTGGTACTCTCTAGACCAGGTCACTTGGTTCTGACAAGCTTAGCCTTAAGGACTTACCTGGTGAAGGGATGGTTGATTTCTTTGATATAAAACAAGGACACATTAGTGTCCTTGAAGACAGGGTCTTATCTTTCAGATAATGCAGGTAGCAGAAACTAAGTATACCAGAGTCCAAATTCCAGCTGTTATCTCCTGTGTGACCTTAGCCAAGTCACTTAGCCTCTCTGATCCCTCATCTCTAAGTTGATGATAATCCCCACTTACCGACAACCATGCAGATAAAGGGCATGATAGAGCAGGTGCTTCAGTGATGCCTGGTCTTCCCGAGCCACGCTTGAGACCCATGGGAGAGTGTTTACATCCAGGGGAGTTTTATTAGAACCAGTTCTGAGGTTCACCATCTAAACCTAGAAGTGAGGCCCTGATCACCTCCTAGGATTGGGCAGAAGACTTACGGAGCTGCTTACACAAAGCCACACATTTGGATTTTTAACTGAAGTGATGGGGTCCTTAAGCATCTTCCACTCTGGTTTAGTCCTTGGCCTGAGAATGCGCCTTGGTTTGGAATAACCATCCCTAACCAGAAATGAACGAATCTAAGAATTGTAGGGACCCACCTATCTAGTAAACTGAACCAAAACTCTTCTCTGCCAGGACATCAATCTGTATTTATTGGTGTGTGTGGATAATGTCCTTGACACATACACCCCCCCGACACACACACACGTACAAACACACACATATATATACCTTCAAATATGCACATTACCAGTTAGGGACACCACCTTGCAAGTGTCCCATAAGCCCAGTATTTGTGCTTTTGAACACAAATGTGGTCTTTAAAAAGAGACGCAGTGCTATTTTATGAGGGTTTGATATGGTTCTCTTCACCTTTTCCAGGGAAAACAGAAGTCTATTTGGAAGCCATCAGGAAGAATATTGAATGGCTGAAGAAACATGACAAAAAAGGAAATAAAGAAGGTAGGGACTTACTGTGGTTGTACACTGCAAACTTCACCAGTTTGTCGGGGGCTCTTCTTATATAAAGATTCCCACAATCAAATTGACTGCACTAAAGTCTCCCGTTAGACCCCCCAAAAGACTCCAGTCCTCTCTCAGATGCAGAGGGGAACAGAACCGCCATTTCTCTTATTATTCAAATCAGCCTTTCAAGCAAAGGCATTTTTCTTTTCTTTGACATTGTATTATGAAAAATGTCAAACAAAAGTAGACAGTAGACAGTATAATGTCAAACAAAAGTAGACAGTGAACAGTAGAATGAATCCCTATGAGTCTGTCACCCATCTTCAATAATTATCAACATTTTGCCAGTCTTGTTGTATCTACCCTGCTTTTCTTGGAGTATTTTAAACGATGGCATTTTCTGAGCACCTATTAAATGTACCTGCAAGCACAAAAGCAGTCGCTCCCTTACATAAGACAAAACGCAGAACCACACCCTGCTGTGAGCACCAGAGATGCGAGGGAGGCCAGGTGCAGCCAGCCCAACACGCTCACAGCGTCAGCAGAGCTCCAGGTGGACCTGCTCAGTGCTGTCACGGACAGGTGTAGTGGTGCCAAGCAGGCAAGAGGACGGCGTGGATCTTCTTACCGGGACAGAGACAGCTGGGAGAAAGGACCACAGGAAGGCCTTTGCTGGGAATATAAAGAGGAATGTGCCCAGTGAGGAAAGATGAAGGCAGAGGGAACACTGAGTACCCAGACGTCAAGGCTCAAAAGAGGCAGGTGGTTTCTGGGACCCAGAGCCATTCATTTCTGCAAAAAAAACTGGGTGTCTGCATGGAGGAGCAGCCAACAGGGCTGGGAAGTGGGCAGTGGCCACTGGCCCCACCAGGAGACTCTTGTTCACCCTGTAAAGGAGGTTGATTATAGCCAGGGGAGCCTAATTTGGGGCCTGATTAGGTACTGAACTGAGAAATCCATTTGGCACCATTGTGGTTACAGGTTGAAAAGAGAAACCCCCAGAAGGCAGGAGAAAGATAAGGAGGTGAGGATCTGGAGGAGAAATGGTGGGGCTTAGACCAAGGCATGGCAAGGCAGAGCAAATAAAGAGGAAGACAGGGACTGCAGAGTCCATGGAGCGGGAGGGTCTGGCATGGTTCCCAGGTGTCTGGCCAGAGCAGCTGCACAGTGACGTTTTCAAATGAGACAAGGGATGCTTCTCAAGACAGTGCATCCATGTCACCTGGGGAGCATCTAAATAGCCCGCTGCCCAGGTCACACCTCGGCACCACTAAACCAGAAACTCTGGGGACAGGGCTCTGGCGTCAGTATTTTTTTCAACTCCCCAGATTATTCCAGGGTGCTCTTTCCCCACTGCCCTCAGACGTGCTCTGCTGGACGCTGGGTCATCTCTCCAAGCCTGTGGGGATGGAGGTCGTGGGGCCATTCAGTGGCTGCAGCTGTCCGAGCAGGAAGACTATTAGTTCTATAGTTCCTTAATTGCTGCAAATATTGACCTTCCTTTGTCAGAGTCCCGGGTGGCCTGAATCCCCTTCGCAAACCCAGCCAAGGGAGGTCCATGTGATGTGATAGTGAGGATGATAAAATCTCTATGCAGCCTTTAAGAAAAAAAGTGTGCTTTTAAAAACAATGAATCCCAGCCCTTACCTCTTTCGAGAGATTTTCCCACTGCGCAGAGTGACGCCCATGTCATAAAGATACGGTTTTTCCTTTTCGAAAGAAAGCAAAATATTTGGCTTGTTTGTCCATTCAAATCACTGTACCTCTCCACATCTAGCCTTGGGGATTTGCCTTTCATCCCGTTAAAGATGTTGACACTGCAACCAATTCTGAGGAGCCAGTGTTAGTATTCGGGACTGCAAGGCCGCAGAATGGGCAGGAAGTGAGGACAGACAGACCTGGGCAAGTGACTTACTCCGTCTGTCCTGTTTCTTTGTCTCTGAAATGGGGGATACTAATGCTTACCTGTGGGTGTGGAAAAAACAACACACAACACAACAATCAACGCAGAGGACTTCAGTGACCAAATGTGGGAGGGCTTCTCCCCACACACGGAGCAAGCGATCAATTCCGTGGCAGACGCCAGCCGGGTGTTCTCTAGTTTCAATGCAGTTCTGACGCTGTCCACCTGGAGGTAGCCTCAGAAACCACAGGTTGAGGACTCGGTCCCACAAAGCCACCCCTTTGTTCCCACCAGTCGTGAATCTGAGCCTCTGGAATGTCCGACCAACCCTCGTCAAGTTGGGGTAACCATGACCCCTTATTTGAGTGTGATTAATTTGCTAGAGCAGCTCACAGGACTCAGGAAATGCTTATGTTTGTCAGTTTATTACAAACAATATTGTAAAGGATAAAAATAAAGAGCCAGGTGAAGAGATACGTAGGGCAAGCTCTGGAAGGGTCTCGAACACGGGAGCTTCTGCCCCTGCGCAGTGGGGGCGCACCACCCTCCCCGCACGGGTATGAGTTCTCGTTCACCTGCCTGGCAGCCTGCACGTGTTCAGCTCTCTGGAAGGTCCCTTACCCTGTCCTCTGGGGCCTTTTATGGAGCTTTCTTTAAATAGGCGCGATTGATAACCGTGTAGAAATGTGATTGGACAAAAAGGGTACAATATAAACCTGTCAAGCCCTGTCTTTTCAGATTCTTCTTGGACTCTCTGTGTAGCATTCCTTCCTCCGGGCTGTGGGGCAGGACCCCTTCTGCAACGAGGGTCTTATGACCCACAGACCCACAATCAGATGAGATCCAGCCTTGGGCAGGTGAAAGGAGGGAGGGCAGGAGAAGGTCAAAGAGAGAGATTCTGTTTCCCTAGGCCTAAAGTGCCCCAACATAATGTCACTTTGCCTCATGGGGTTTTGTGAGATGATGGTTGTCAAGTGCTCAGTGCTGAGAGTTCTCTCTTTAAACCCTCATGGTCGTGCCCTAACAGGGAGCAAATGCCCGGCTGGCCAGAGGGAATGAGCTCTCTCTCTAAGCCTCAGTCACCTTTATACAATAAACACTTCGTGCTTGTAGAGCAGGGGTCCTCAAACTTTTTAAACAGGGGACCAGTTCACTGTCCCTCAGACTGTTGGAGGGCTGGACTATAGTTTTAAAAAGACTATGAACAAATTCCTATGCACACTGCACATATCTTATTTTGAAGTAAAAAAACAAACGGGCAGAAACACCCGCATGTGGCCTGCTGGCCATAGTTTGAGGACACCTGTTAGAGAGTCCTTCATGCTTTATTTTCCTTTTGTGTAGGGACTTAAAAGATACCCACAGCGACCCAGGTTTGGATTATACTGAGACTGGCTGAAGGCTCCTGGGAATCCCTCTGTGCTCTTATGTCCACTGTCCCTCCTTTCTCTCCCCTTTGCAGACTAACTGAGGCAGGCTCTGTTCTGGTCTTTTATAATTATAATCATATAGTACTTAAAGAATCAAATGAAGATGTGGAGTTTTTTAAGCCTTTAGAAAAATGCCAGGGGCAGCCTTCTTACTTGGGGATCTCTTTACTTTGGGTGGATGGTTTGATGATTTAAATGGATTTTGTTTAAGTGGGACAGAGAAGCCATTAAAAGGTTACAGTTGGCTTTTTGCTCTGTGCATACCATTCAAACAACATGAAGTAATCAAGGTAATTCTTAAGTTGGAAAAAAAAAAAATGTGGGTTGTCACATCCACAGGGAGTTAACCTGGTGTAACAAGTTCAAGAAGTCTGAACACCTGGTTTTGATCATAACTTTTACTACCTAAGTGACCTTGAACAAGGCACTTAAGCTTTAGGATCTTGTTAGCCCAAGTGTGGTTCCCGGACCAGCAGCAGTGGCATCTCCTGGGAGCTTAAAATGCAAAACCCGGGCCCCCACCCCATACCTACTGAATATGAATCTGCAACTGCCCAAGAACCCCAGGTGATTGGTATAAACGTGAAAGTTTGCAAAGCCCTGATCATGATCTGGTTCCTTCTTTGGGCAAATGGGATGGTTCTCCCCAGCCTGAATAGCTCGCAGGGTTGTGGTGAAGAGCAGATGAGATAATATAGTACACATAAACATCATTCCTATGAAGTACAGAGGCCAAGAATTCAAATGTTTTCCAATGTGGAAGGCAAGGAATGGTAATCGTGTTATCGTACAAAATGCCTCTCAGTTAATGGTAATCACTGTAATGGGGTTGGTCTTTCCCCATCTTTGCTCCTGACATTCTAATAATATTTTCCAGATTATGACCTTTCAAAGATGAGGGACTTCATCAACCAGCAAGCCGATGTGTACGTGGAGAAAGGCATTCTTGATAAGGAAGAGGCCAAGGCCATCAAGCGCATCTACAGCAGCCTGTAAAAATGGCAAAACATCCAGGAGTCTTTCAACTGTTTGAGAAAACATAATATAGCTTAAAACACTTCTAATTCTGTGATTAAAGTTTTTTTGACCCAAGGATCAGTAGAAAGTGCTGAATTTACAGTAGTTAACCTTTTAGAAGTGGTTAAAACATAGCTTTCTTGCCATGCAAACTATCTGAAAAGTAAAGTTGTATGCAAGCTGAGATTTTGTATATAGAATCCTTATTTCGTCACAGATATACATTTCATAATCAGATGTTTTGCTTTGGAAAAGCCTCCAATGGACTGAACTTAAAACTAAACCTTTTTCCCACTGTCTCTCTCTCTCTCATACACACACACACACACACACACACACACACACACACACACTCCCTGAAGAATTAAGGGGGTTCTGTTTTGAAGGCATGCCAGACACTGAAGCACCCTGTAGAATATGTCTGTAACAGGATGTTTCCACTAGCAGATCCCTTTGGGGAGTTGAAATAAATTCCCATTTACGCAAAGCCTCATGGCATGAGCAGAGCCATCTGCTTTTTTGGCTGTTCTTTTTAGCTAGGTCTTTATGAGGCCCAGTGGCACAGAAAGGGACCTAAAAAATAGGCATAGGATGCGCTGGGTTTATTAACAACTTCCCCCTGCTCTTAACATTTCCTGTTAGTGAGTTTTCAGACAGAGACTTGAGTTTACTTACAAAGGAGGATGTTTATGTACCCTCCAAGAAGACCAGTGAGGTCATAAACACTACATAAAGCAAGGTAAAAACGTATGCCAGATCTCCGTTATCTAAACTGGATTTGACCCAAGTGAAGGTGTCTCGACAAGACAGCAAAGGGCCAGGCAGTAGAAACAGGGATAAAAATCATTCCTTTCCCTGTGAACCAAAGTGGGTAAAAGAGCTTCCCTCAAGGAAGAGGTTAATGAACTTCAGGTCCCTGCAACTCCTCTTCCTCAGCCGCCACCACAAACATGGCCCTGGAAACGACCACACAGTGGCCTGAGGTCCTCTTGAAATGTTATCGGTCTGGCCGGGCGTAATTTGCTTTTCATACATTTATATTTTTAAAATCCCACACCATTTTTATAGGTAATTCGTTCCTTTTTCTTTTTTTGAGATAGAGTCTCACTCTGTTGCCTGGGCTAGAGTGCTGTAGTGTCAGCCTAGCTCATAGCAACCTAAACTCCTGGGTTCAAGCAATCTTCTGCCTCAGCCTCCCGAGTGCTGGACTACAGGCATGCGCCACCATGCCGGCTCATTTTTCTTATATATTTTAGTTATCCAGCTAATTTCTTTCTATTTTTAGTAGAGATGGGGTCTTGCTCTTGCTCAGGCTGGTCTCGAACTCCTGAGCCCAAACGATCTACCCACCTCAGCACCTCCAGGAGTGCTAGTAATTCTTTCCTTAGCAAAAAGCAACCTAACAAGGTAATGATGAGACCTCTATTTCCAACTGTCCTCTGTCAAGTTCCCTCCAAAGCAGACCCTAGGAGAGGAAGGATTTGAAGTAGTTTAATTGGGAGGTGACCCCAGGAAGCACCACTGCGGGGGCCAGGTACATGAGACAGGGAAAGGAAAGAAGCCAATGTCTGATGTGTTAATGAGCAGGCTTCAGCTGTGGGCATTTCAGCTCAATGCCACTGAATGACCCCGGGGAACTGAGGCTAGAACATGCCTAAGGAACAAGGAAGCTGATGCACTGATCTACCCTTTTATCCATCATCTTCAGCTCGTCCATCCTTAGCATACCTGGAGAGGGGGAGGCGACAGTGGGAATGTTGCTACACTGTGATAAAAACCTCACAATTTTTTTTTAGTCTCCATATTCAGAATTTTAATGCAGTATTTAAACAGGACTAGCACACTGTATCTTTTGGCTTTTCTCAAGTAAGCTCATACACATCGTGATACAATACCATGGGATAAGACAGTGGAAACATGCTCAAAATGATTTACAGACTATTTTACAGACCATATTCAAAAGTTTTGCAGCAAGCTAACTATACCTAATGGTGCTATTTTTGAACATCACTTATCTTTCATTTAACGCAACTCCATGAGGATCACTAATGGCTTTAAGACTCCTTTAAAAACATGCAGTTGCACATTGTGTACGAAACGCTACATGAAGATTTCTTTCCTTGTTCAAAAATGCTTTATTCTTTTATTTTAGAGGTTAATGCCATTATTTTATTTTGATTTTTTTATTTCAGAATATTACAAGGAGTAAAATGCTATAGTCACATAAATTGCATTGCACTGCTGATGTCAAAGCTGACAGTATGCCACCACCCCAGTCAGTATGCACTGGCGCCATTAGGTGTTAATCTAGGCTTCCCCTTCTCTCTCTCCCCTCCCCCCATCGGAATGAATGTTAAAATGCCTTATCTAAAAGAATTAATTCTTAAATAGGAAAACACTGATTTGTTGTCACCAAATCGGTTAATCTCTCAGGCAAACAGGCAATAGACAATGAATCTCTGTACTGATTGTGCCGTATGTTATATGATCATAACTCAGCCAGGGATATTGTTTTCACATGCTCCCTGACATTCTTGAAAACAAAGCCACTGAAATCACGGCTGTTTCCCCCAGGACTAACTATGAGTGAAGCAGGGATAAAAATTGTCGATCTTATCTATCGTCCATTTATACTTTCTGCGTAGGGAGAAGGTTCTGTGTTCTTTGGGGACCAGATAACTGGAACCCCTGGTTGGTGAGGCAAGAGTGGGCTTCAAGATTAAGGAAAGATGCTCAGGAAGTAAAGAAAGACGAAATGGGGAACGTGACGGCCTCCTAAGCAGGGTTATTGTACATGGGCAGCAGTCAGATGCAGCCTGGGTTCAAGGCCTGGTCTACTATTGATCTGCAGCATTTACTTTCTCTCTGTGGCTTCATTTCTTGACCTGTAAAATGGGAATAACATTAGGACTGCCTCTAAAAGGTGTTGTGAAGAATAAAGAGGTAACGCATTTTGGAGCACAAAGCGCAGTCCCTGGTGTGTAACAAGCACACAGTACAGGTAGTTCAACCAAGAGGCGTGCACAGTAGACTAGAGTAACAGGGCCAAGGGGGCTCAGACTGGGTGGTCAGCACTCTGAGCTTCGCAGCTATTGCTTCTGCAGAGGCTCTGGCCTTGCGAGCTTTTAAAAGCCTCTGGTTATCTAGACCAGTCACTTGGTTCTGACAAGCTTAGCCTTAGGACTTACCTGGTGAAGGGATGGTTGATTTCTTTGATTAAAACGACACATTAGTGTCCTTGAAGACAGGGTCTTATCTTCAGATAGCAGGTAGCAGAAACTAAGTATACCAGAGTCCAAATTCCAGCTGTTATTCTCCTGTGTGACCTTAGCCAAGTCACTTAGCTCTCTGATCCTCATCTCTAAGTTGATGATAATCCCCACTTACCGACAACCATCGCAGATAAAGGCATGATGAGACGGTGCTTCAAGTGATGCTGGTCTTCCCGAGCCACGCTTGAGACCCATGGGAGAGTGTTTACAATCCAGGGGGTTTATTAAGAACCAGTTTTGAGGTTCACCATCTAAACCTAGAAGTGAGGACCTGATCACCTCCTAGATTGGGCAGAAGACTTATGGAGCTGCTTACACAAAGCCACACATTTGGATTTTAACTGAAGTGATGGGGTCCTTAAGCATCTTCCACTCTGGTTCAGTCCTTGGCCTGAGAATGCGCCTTGGTTTGGAATAACCATCCCTAACCAGAAATGAACGAATCTAAGAATTGTAGGGACCCACCTATCTAGTAAACTGAACAAACTCTTCTTGCCAGGAATCAATCTGTATTTATTGGTGTGTGTGGATAATGTCCTTGACACATACACCCCACGACACACACAAGTACAACACACACATATATATACCTTCAAATATGCACATTACCAGTTAGACACCACCTTGCAAGTGTCCCATAAGCCCAGTATTTGTGCTTTTGAACACAAATGTGGTCTTTAAAAAGAGACGCAGTGCTATTTTATGAGGGTTTGATTATGTTCTTTCGCCTTTTCCAGGGAAAACGAAGTCTATTTGGAAGCCATCAGGAAGAATATTGAATGGCTGAAGAAACTGACAAAAAGGAAATAAAGAAGGTAGGGACTTACTGTGGTTGTACACTGCAAACTTCACCAGTTGTCGGGGCTTTCTTTTTAAAATATCCCAAATCAAATTGACTGCTAAAGTCTCCGTTAGACCCCCAAAAGACTCCAGTCCTCTCTCAGATGCAGAGGGAACAGAACCGCCATTTCTCTTATTATTCAATCAGCCTTTCAAGCAAAGGCATTTTTCTTTTCTTTGACATTTTATTATGAAAATGTCAAAAAAGTAGACAGTAGACAGTATAATGTCAAACAAAGTAGACAGTGAACAGTAGAATGAATCCCTATGAGTCTGTCACCCATCTTCAATATTATCAACATTTTGCCAGTCTTGTTGTATCTACCCTGCTTTCTTGGAGTTTTTAAACGATGGCATTTTCTGAGCACCTATTAAATGTACCTACAAGACAACAAAGCAGTCGTCCTACATAAGACAAAACGCAGAACCAGACCTGCTGTGAGCCCAGAGATGCGAGGGAGGCCAGGTGCAGCCAGCCCAACACGCTCACAGCAGGCTCAGCAGAGATCCAGGTGGACCTGCTCAGTGCTGTCACGGACAGGTGTAGTGGTGAAGCAGGCAAGAGGACGCGTGGATCTTCTTACGGGACAGAGACAGCTGGGAGAAAGGACCAAGGAAGGCCTTTGCTGGGAATAAAGAGGAATGTGCCCAGTGAGGAAGATGAAGGCAGAGGAACATAGAGTCCCAGACGTCAAGGCTCAAAGAGCAGGTGGTTTCTGGACCAGAGCCATTCATTTCTGCAAAAAAACTGGGTGTCTGCATGGAGGAGCAGCCAGCAGGGCTGGGAAGTGGGCAGTGGCCACTGGCCCACCAGGAGAACTCTTGTTCACCCTGTAAAGGAGGTTGATTATAGCCAGGGGAGCCTAATTTGGGCCTGATTAGGTACTGAACTGAGAAATCCATTTGGCACCATTGTGGTTACAGGTTGAAAAGAGAAACCCCAGAGGCAGGAGAAGATAAGGAGGTGAGGATCTGAGGAGAAATGGTGGGGCTTAGACCAAGGCATGGCAAGGCAGAGCAATAAAGAGGAAGACAGGGACTGCAGAGTCCATGGAGCGGAGGGTCTGGCATG